TGCCTTTCCAATATCAGCCATGTATCTCTGTAAACAATGAAGCTTTAGAACTCTAGAACATGCAAAAGGCACATTTAATATAAAGTATGCACGGAATGAAATAATCAAAACAAAATGTACCAAAAGAAAAAAGAGGGTGGGGATTGGGGAGTACAGCATTATGGTGCATTCTGACAGCATATTCTGTCAGAGTTTTTTTCTCATTCCAAAAAAAAAGTTCCAACAGAATATGAAGAAACTAATGCCAAGAGCTTTTTGTCAAATAATCAACAATATCCACTAATTAGATGAGCCTTTCTGGAAAAGGAAGAGTGGCCACAGAATTCTTATGGCCTGGTTGGTTCAATTGGCTGGGAAGTAGGTCCTGTGAATGAGGATAGATCTTTCACCATAACTATCAACAATGCACTTGAATATTCTAAGGGCAAAGAATCGGATGTTATGCTAATAGCCAGACATACTAAATAAACATTATAGAAAAATGAAAAGATTCTTTTAATACAGGGCTTAAACTAATGAGGTCATATTGTTTTATATAAGTGAAAACGAACAAATAATAATTCCAGCCATTAACTATGTTTCTCTTTAAATTGGTATACCAATTGCAAACGAAGTTTTATTTATTTATAAGAGAAACATACAATTGTAAACAAAATCAAATGCAGACAATTGATGTAGACAAGACAAGTTATACGTTTTAACAAGCATACTAATTGCAAAGAAGTAAAATGTAGTAAACAAGTGCTGCTCAACCTTTAAGACAGATGACCGAGAATTGATGGACCTGTGAATAGATTTGTCTATAATAATGTCCTCATTGATATTCACTCCACCCATTTGCTGCCAATGCCTCAAAGATACATTTGAGGGACGAGCAATAAATTGGCAGCTCCAATAAACTGGAAAAAGGAAGAGTTTTTAGTAATGTTATGATGTAAGAATAAAAGATACATTTGATAATGAAAGCATATAGGGACTAAAGCTTTTTTCAATTATATGCTTTCTCCCACTGATAGACATATATACACAACAAATATCAAATGCAGCAAAAATATTTGTATGTGAACACAATTAAAAAATATAATTTAATGATCTCAAACAAAAGTGAGTTCATTTACCATTTACACTTGGAAATATGACAGGATAACAAGGACCCTGAAGTTGAAGAGAGGTGTTTCTCATTTCTGGTGTAAGGAACTCATAATAATCATAATTCCTGTCTATCCAGTCATCCATTGAAAGACGGATATCTCCTTCAGGATAATCACACACCCAACTTAGTGAATCTTCAGAAGGGGCAGGGCAATCCAATAAGCATATACTCCGAGCATTGGCCAACTTGAATTGATTGTCTTTCAAACCACTTAGGTAAACCTGGTTAGGATTTAACCAATATTTGAGTTCCAGTTGACGAAGACCTTTTGCATGCTTGTCACCACAAACATTTCCTTTGTAGTCCAGTCCATAAGTGAGCCTGATGAACCACATCACTATTCATGAGAATTATCGAATAAAGTAAAGAGAATTCAAGTTATTCAACTATGCGAAAGAAATGTAACCATTATGTAGCAAAATAGAGCAAGCACACCGAAAATATACAATGTAGCCAAACATAAACAAAGTTACTGTACAAAACTAAACGAAAACCAAACAGAACGCAGACCAACTTCCCCAAGTAAGATGCACTGATGGTTGTTTTAGGATAAAAGACCAACAAAAAAAAACTTCCAGTACAAAATGCACAGGAACAACATAGCATTTCAAATTTCGAAAAGCTGAATGACAATAGATTATTATTTTCTCCACAAACAAATCACATAAACTCAATATCTCATTTTCAGCTTCTTACTAAAATTTCTCAAGCAACCACATAGTTGAAAATAAAACAGAACGTAATATTATGTTGATTAGAAAAAGGAAAACTGAAAACACAACAAAGATGTTAGTACCAAAAGCAAACCCAGTTCAGAAACACCAAACCCAAATAAGAAGCTAATTTGTGTCCTGATTTTATTCTAACAGACAAGTAAAAGTGTGTACATGGAAAAATACCAACAAAAAAACAGAAACAAATGCTCATTCGTAATACCACGTATTTGTGAGCTAAAACGGCGATTCTTACCTTAAAAAACACAGGCGAAACAATTTTTCCAAAAAATGAGAAGGTATGGTTAGGAATCTTACCTTAATGGGTTTCCTTGGTTAAATCCAAAGCTGGAGTTAACAATCATAGCAACCCAGAAGGCTATAAAGATTACAAGGAACACAAGGTCCCTGCATTTCCTGTTGTGCCTAATGATTGAACCCAATTGCTCACTCCCATCACTTGATGGGTACCTCCCTATGACTGCCCCCAAAGGACCCCTCATCCTTCTTTGAAACGCCCACACACTGTTTCTCTGTCAATCGTCTTCAACAATGAGAGCGTAGAGAGGGAGAGAGAGAGAGAAATGAAAAGACAGTAGCAGAGCGAGTGTGTGAAAGGTCCCCAAGGGTTTTAAGATTTGGAATATATTTTAATGGAGCTGTTTCTCTCTCTCTCTTTCAGACTTTAAGACAAAGATATCACTACTAAAGCTGCTAATTTATTATTTCTATCATTGTCAGGTGGCTCGGCTCATATACTATGGGCTTCATTCATTAGCTACAATGTCTTTTTCTTTTCTCTTCTTTTCTTTTCTTCTCTTTTCGTTTATGCATAAATAAAGATGAAAAAAAAGTATTAAGGATTATCCTAGTGTGAATATTGAATAACAATAAATTATTATTTCAAAATAAGATAATCCTTACTACTGTAGTGAAATTTTATTTTATATTATTAAGTAATGTTGTTCAAATATTAATTATTATTAAATATTAAATATTAAATAATGTTGTTCAAATAGAAAAAGGAATAATAATAACTTGATCCATATTAATTTTGTGAATAGTAGTTAACCTGTAGTGAAATTGTATGTTTAACCTAATATTATTATCTTTTGTTTTATGTTCAACTACTTGATTCCTAGATAAATTTTAGTAAGAATCTGAAAATGAGATATTGTGTTCATGTAATACGTGATAGGAGAAAAAAGGTAAAGGAATATAATTTTTTTTTAGAGAAAAAGGAAGAAAATATTTAATTTATAAAAAAGTAACAACTACTAAGAGAAGATAATTTTGCCACATTTATAAATCACTTGGTGTACCATCTCTTTAATATAAGTGAAGTTCACCAGTCTAATATATAAATGTGGTCTTTCTAACATTTTCACGAGACAACGGATATCAAACAATAGAGAAATATTTTTGTATTTATTTTTCTATAGTGAAAATTTCATTGCATTTGCACCGCATTTTTCTAAAAGGAAAATAACGAATAACAAAAAGAAGAAAAAGCTGTGCATCGAAAGTAGAATCATGAGACCCCCAAAGAAAAAAGTAGAATCAAAATGAGCCGTTCAAGCAGCTCTGAGCCGCTGTACAAAACAAGCCAATATGGGGGTATATATTTAATTTTAAATAAGAATATATTCGAATTTAAACTTTATTTAAATCCAGTAATTCCGCCGTTTAGCTAATACACAGTCACAGTCCCAGTCACAGTCACAGTCACAGACACAGACACACTGCCGCACACACTGATAAGTGAGCTTGACTAGAGAGTGTCATGCTCATTGCCCGCTGTGTTTATGTTCCCACTCTACCAACCGTTGATCGTATTGGGATGTGTATTTTGTTCCTACTCTACCAGCCGTTCATTTCTTTTTTGACCCAAAGAAAAGTGATCATCAATTCAACGCAAAGGAAATTATAACAAAGATGTTGGCTTAACTTACAAGATCTGAATAAGAACATAAGAACTGATAAATATATTGGACTAAATCATAGTATAAGAATTTTTGTTAACCTAAAAATCTTCACGGCCTATGGTTGTTCTTCGATTGCTTGTTGCGTTCGTATGGGTGCATTGGTGGTTTCGACTTCGGTGGAGGTGATGAATTTCGGATGGCTGGTTTTTGTGGTGTGTGGAATCAGTTATGTTGGCATATCTGTAGGTTTTGTGTATGTTTTCGTATGTTCTTGAGATGGTAGTTCCTAAACTCAATCTTGGCCACAATGACAATGTTCATGTCTTCACGGTGGCAGTGGCAGTGGCAGCATCCGTGTGGCTACGGCTCTTTTGATCACATGCTAGGTTTGCCAAAAACTATGCCTTTGATGTCCCAACTCGGGACTCCCGAGTGGGCTTTATGCATGGTTTGGGCTTTGGTTGGAAGTTGGTTGGGCTTTCGGCCTTTTTATATTGCTTTTGATGGACTCAGGAATTATAGACTTTGCCCAAAAAGAAATATGCCTAGATTTCTCCAATCCGATCTTATTGAGCATCCTTTTATGTAACTGCCCTATTGTAAAATTTTACTTCTGAATGAAACTTCGTTCAGGAAAAAAGGAAAAAAGGAAAAAAGAAAGAACAAGAATGTATGGGGTGTGCTAGTATGCGGTCGAATCAACTTCTGAAAATGGGTGAAGATTGCCATAGAGCATTAGTGAATGGCTTGTGGATTTTGATTTATATCAGTCAAGGAGGACTTGGACATTGGAAACTCTAAATGATGCACAGTGAACCAGAAGACTATGTTTCTATATACAACCCTTCCTGATTCGATCTGAAATGGTGGGCTGCGAGATTGGGCAAATGGGGACTCAAATCAAGGAGAGCTTAGTTTATACAAATGCATTTATCCTCCAGTTAACAGCAGCAGTGCAATTGGCAGCGCAGAAGAAAAATTGACAACAGCCATAGATATAAAAATTATGAGACAACATGATTTGGGTATAGAGAGAAAACCTCTTGAAAAATTCATTCCATTGAAGAGATTATAACCGTACAATACAACTCAATCTTTTATATATAAAGTGATTTACAGTATAAGGAATCAAAGAATTGGTTTCAGGGGCAAGAAACCAAAAAAATCTCTAAAAAGTAAAAGACTTTACTCATTATATGTATGTGCTAATTAACAGTCATGGGTGATGAATGAAATGGAGGAGCCCCTTTGCCCATTTTGGCTACTGCTGTAAGTGCTTGCACCGTGTCCACATTGCTGAACCTCCGCCTTTGTCTTGCTAACCTTAACAAGTGCAAAGCGAAACTGGGATTTACACCTGATCGACCAGCGCTGCACTGTGTCATCAGACGTCTTCAGTGAATTTACATCTGCAGTACTTTGCACATGAACCAGCTTTTGTTTCTTTTGCACTAATGCTTCATTGTTGTTGTCTTCATGACCATGATCACTCCCAGAATGAGCAGAAAGCCTCTTCCTTTTCATATTCATACAACTTACACTTTGGACAGAATCATGAGCAGCATGTGGCAAAAACCTTCTTTGAGTCCTCCTCATACTTGACCTTTTCTTCTTGGGTATGTTAATGTCACTGAAGTGGAAAGTTTTGAACTCTGACCTTTTCTTTTTAGCACAGAAACTGATTAATTCTGCAAGAACAGCTTTTTCTTCAAAAACCCAGTTGGTTGTGAGTCCATTCCCATCCTCCAACTCCATCAATTGTTGGGTTGCAACTTCAGCCAACATATCCAAGGAAGATGATGATGATGATGATGATGAAAAAACCCCTTTGGTTTGCTTGACCATGGCCTTCTGAGGAATCAAACACCCATCAAATCCATATCCATGAACTGGGTTGCAGCAGCAACTTCTCACAGCCATGGCCATGGCCTTCTCAACATCATCTTCCTCCCAATTTTTGACAACAACAGAAACCTCAGAGAGAAGATTCAACGAATTTGAATCAGACCCAAATTGAAAATCACCCTTCATTCCCATAACCAAAATGCAAAAACAGAACTTTCACCTAAAAGATTAAGAAAGAACACAGAAATAAACCCAACTCAGAAAAGAAAGGGACAAATTCAAAACGGATCAGAATGAGACAATGGGGTTAGGGTTTCAACTCTACAGAGACAGAGAGAAAGAGAAAGCGAACAAGTTTGCAAATTGTGATCAGAGAGAGAGAAATAATAGTTGGGAAGATTCACTATAAGGCGGTTTTTAAACCCAACGCTCAAGTGCACTCTCTCACTTTACTTTGTAGCTGTGTCTCTGTGTATTTCCATATCAGATTAGGATTGTAGTTGCTTTGGCCCCAATTAATTAACCACCCAAACATTTCCCGACCGTTGGAGATAATACCTGAAAGCGGGTTTAACGCGGTTTTCTTCAAATTAAAGTTGCCACAAAGTACCAGTTTTCTCTTTCTTTTCCCCATTCTATTTGGATTTGTTATTTATTTGTGCCTGCCTACCACTGGAATGATGAATTGCTCCATCCACATATTTATACACTTCAGCCGCTCAGCCTTTTCTTTTTTTTTTTTTTTTTTTTTTTGTTGTTGTTTTTGTTCCTTCCTTCATTATTCAAAGATACAATTGTTCAATTTTATTTTTTTTAAACGTAAATTTTATAGCTAGTTTCATTTCATATAAGGAGTTTCAATGCCAAAAAAAAAAAAAAAAAAAAAAAAAAAAAAAAAAAAAAAAAATATTCATCTATGGTCTTGTGAAGAGTTATTTACTTTTACGAGACATTTTGGAAAATGCCAAAGGAGAGAGAAATATTTTTAAAAGAAGCCAAAATGGACAAAAATGCCCTTATTTATTTTTAGATTTTCTAAGGAATCATTTACATTTGCATGTCTTTGGTTTTAAAGTTGAGAGGTTTTTCTATATTTTTTGGAAAATTTTTAGTTTTTTCCAAAAATGAAAGTTTTTTTGTGACTAAAACCTAAATTTACTTTTACACTAACTCCCATTGTGATTTTTGAGTTTTTCACAAAACCGCCTGAGCAGAGGCGGAGCCACAGTGGGGTCAATGGGGTCGCATGACCTTTTGGAAGCCATGAAAATAAGTTTAGAGGTCCCTTGGAGCTGCTGGTGCGACCTCTTGGAGCTGCACACCACGTGGTCGACGAAATGCCTGAAAGAAGAAGGAAGAGTTCGCTGAAAGGTTGAAGAAGAAGAGGCTGGCTGGCGCGCATCTTTTTTTAAAAAACAACCTGGGCAAAACGACGTCGTTTTGGCCCAGGGAATTTTTTTTTAAATGACCTGGCCAAAACGACGTCGTTTTGGGCCAGGTCTAAAGAAAAAATATAATGACCAGCGTATCCTCCAGCCTCTCCTTCTCCACAAATCCGATTCCTCCATTCCAAAACCCCCAATTTTCCCCCAATTTTCTTTTGTTACTGCTTCTCCAATCTGTCCTTATTCCAAATCCGATAAATGTCTTTATCCTTTTACTTTTATTTATTTTTATATTACTCCATTTACTTAAGTTTACAATGTAAATAAGGAAGTACCCCCTATTTGGATTCAAATAAAAATACTAGAAAATCAAATTCTCACCAAATCAAAATATGAAAATTCGGTTTTAGTGCAAAATATGATTTATGCTAAAAATGATGGCTCATTAAGTCAATATATACTTCATACTAAAATCCCATAAAATCAAGTTTTCTTATTTGATGTGTAGAGAATAAAAGCCGCCAAAAATTATCTTGAGAAAATGATTATTCCGAAAAACCATTTTTCATACTTAGTCAGTATTGCACCTCCGCTAAAAAAATTCTGGGTCCGTCTGTGAGACACTATAATTGAAGTCAAAGCAAAATGGCAAATTGCTATCTATTGGCCTCTGGACCATCACAAAGCATTCTTGCCCCCAGTAATAACAAAGTTTACACTTTAATATCTATCCGAAGCTGCAACTTCTGCCACTCTTGCGCCTCAGCTTGTGCATGCCATTCTAATTTTTTTTTTTTTAAACTAAAACTTAGGCAGCAGTTTAATTAAGGAATTTAGGGTAACTACATAATCTCCTCTCTCCTCCCTCCCTTTTCTATGTGATCTCAAATAAAATGATGTCTCAAGTTTATGTGTTTAGTGCATAAGTGAAGTATTAGAGATGTTTATCGCACTAATTTTCAGTAACAATGTGAGTTTTTATTTTCATTTTTTTGCATATGTAGAATATATATGTTGATTCCATCCTAAATTTTTTTTTGGGACTTTTACACTAAGACCCCTTGTGTTTCGATTCCTGGCTCCGCCACTGCGCCTGAGGTTTCAGAAATTACCCAAACACTCCTTGAGGTTTTAAATTATTTTTTCACAAACACCCTTTTCATTGATTCGTCCAAAAATTGATGATTTCATTAAAAAAAAATTTTGCAAAATGACAAAGTTAGCCTCAATGAATACATGTGCAATAATCTTAAAGGCTAACTTTGGCATTTTGAAAAACTTTTTTATATATAAAATCATCAATATCTGGACAAAAAATCAACAAAAAGAGTTTTTATAAAAATAATTTAAAACCTTAGGAGGTGTTCGTGTAATTTTTCAAACATCAAGGGGTTTTGTAAAAACACAAAAACAAACAAAAAACAAAAGGGGCAGCTAGTGTAAATAACTCGTCTTATGAATTAAATTTTTTTGCCAATATTTTATAGGGTTGGTTGTGATTCAGTTACTAAAACTTTTCAATGAAATCGTGAACCGGCCGATGTATTATGGTATGATAAAAAGATGAATCATGAACCGAACAACATATTGCTGTCGGTATACCGCAATTGTCGGTATAGGAAACAACATAACATTATAGAATTTTCTATCAACAAAAAAAGAGTCTGCTTATGCTTAAAAAAATCGCTGAACTTTACTACTAAAAACCAATATAATCCACAATCCTGCTAATGCACAATTAATCAACTAAATAGTTTATTACAAGCTAGAGATTATGATAGCAACCTAACAAAATTACCAAAAGAACCGATGAGTTTGCAATACTAATTGAAATCTAGGTTCCTACTAGATAAAAGTTTAATTATTCACTAATTAAGTTATATTAATTCACTAAATATTTAAATGACATTTCTTCAAGGTTGAGATTTTTTTATAAATAAAAAAAACAATAGAGAGAACTTCAAGAAATTGACGGAGAATACACTTCATTAGTAATACATTCTAAGCCTAGGTGAGTCCTACAGAGAGGAAGAAGATAAGAGAGAGAGAGAGAGAGAATAAAAAGAAAAAGAAGAAGAGAGAAAGATTCATCTAAATGATGAAGTCCTAGCCTATGTTAATTAATATAAAATAATTATAAGTATTTATTTTAATAATTAATTAAATTATATTGCGGTTTGCAATATACCGCATTATTTGAATATGCTGAACCGCAACCGCAACCACATATTGCGGTCGGTTTTATAAATCACATGTTGCAGTCAGTTTTCGTGATAAGTCGATTTAGATACGGTACAACCTCGGTTGATATTTGTGGTTTTTCGGTCTAAAATGCCAACTCTAGCTTTATGCATGGTTTGGGCTTTGATTGGATGTTGGTTGGGCCCTTGGCCTTTTTATGTTGACAATTGGATATGCAATATAAATTAAAATCGATTGCCCCAAAAATTCGATGTCATAAAAAGAGAAGTAATAAAATTCCAAAATCTAATGGCAAGGTTGAATATTTATTCAACTATTGTTACAATTTTGTTCTCTATGATTGTAGCAATAATGATTTTACCAGGACTTGCAACCTTAGCACCTTCACCAACTAAAAATAGTGCAAAGTTTTTAGAGAAATGCAAAGAAATGGTCACAGTTGAGGGTGGAAAAGAAATATTTGATAATATGATCCACCCCAATGTAAAACGGAGTAAGATTGGCTTGTTGCTATCAACTTCTGAACATGTGTGAAGATTGCCATAGAGCATTAGTAAATGAAGCTCTTGCAGCACCTCTTCCCAAAGTCAACAAATCGGAGGCTTTGTTCAACAGCAGAACTATTTGGAGACATTGTTTTCCAACTGCAAAAAGATAGTTGCTTTATTATGTACTTTATTCCATAAACAACTTCAAACAAAATATATAAAAGGAAGGTTTTGACATTGAGTATTGAAATTTAATCCAGACGTACCTGTTTATTTTTAATATATACATATATAGGAACCTTTAAGCACTTACATGTTCGTAAGTTAATGCGATGCTAACCATTCGTTTGGACCAACTATACAATGTCATCTTATTATCATAACCGTTCATGTTTTGGATTATAGTTCGAGGAACATCTTTGCAGCCCAAAAATAAAAAGCCAAATTGAAAATTGTTTAACCATACGATCATTATAGTGAATATCTCCATTGTTTATAGAATATCTTGTTGATCCGTTTATTTGATCACACAATTAGATGACTGCATGTTGTCTAATTGGGCCTATTTTTGCAAGGGTGACTATTCAATGATGATCTTTAAAAAACGAACAGTCCTGATCATGTGATGAAATTGTGGAGTGGGTCTAAACAAGTGGTTATTGTTGTATTAAGTAATCTATTAGCGTCGTATTAACTTCATAATTGGCTATCTCTTGATCGATTCCTAGACTCTAGAGCTTTCAATGACTATAATGCACATGGCTGCACATCAGTCAGGTCAATTTCACAACTCTAATTGGGAAACCCATGGTTACGGGGTCGATGAATAAACCTCTGTTTTCACAAACCCACCAAGTAAAACTACAAAAATTTAATCCATGAAAATGAGAGGGATTTTTTCTCTTTGTGAGGTCGAAGGAATACTTCATTGAGAAACAGACGGCCCAAAGCCATATTGTAACTAAAAATTATGAAAGAAAACTGAATGGATGAAGAAACTTCACAATTAGTATCTAACTGAAACTCAATAAACTGATTGCACAATTAATTTTGAACATTTATCAAACTACTCTTGCAAAAATTAATTTTGTTTTCCTTGATTGTAGCAGGACTTGCAACCTTACCACCTTCTCCATCTAATAATAATAACTTTTTTAGAGGAATGCACAAGAAATATTTCTATTGAGTGCAGAAAAGAAGTATTCAATTCTGTGTTTGAATTTGAAGCCAAGGTAAAAAAAAATTATCATCACAATGTTGCCATCGACTTTTGACATCAGTGAAGCTTGCTACAAAGTACTTGAGGATAAAGAGAATAGAAGAATTTGGAATGGTTGCTTCACTTGGTTTGCCATCGTACATTGATGATTGCTTCTCCCAGCTTTATTTTCCTTCTACAAAATTACTTATTATGTACTTATTTCCATAACTGACTTCAAATAAAATACAATGGAGGTTTTGACATGGAGTTGGAGTTTCAAAATTTATGGCTCGTTTACTTACTATGAATGAGAGAATTAGTCATGAATCAGGGAACTTAGGTAGGAGAATCAAGGAATGGAAATCAGATAAACTACTCCCCTTAATTTATCTCATTCCTTATTTGAGGGTATTCGATTTCAGATATTAACATGAAAACCCACGTAATTTTTTATATATTCCTTTTGTACGTTAATAAACACACAAAAAGTCAGAAATTGGAATCATTCCCATGTGTTAGTAAACATAGGAGAATCAGGACTTGGAATCATTCCAATGTCCATTCCAATTATTTTGTCAAATAGAACAATTATTTATTCATGAAATCAAGTTATGACATTTATTGATGTATGTGGTTCATGTAAAATATATTTGAAGATGGGTAAATTAATGTGCCTATTTAGCATAGCATGCATATGATTTATGTAAATATCAAAAGTTTACCTCCATTGCCTGTAGGCAGGTGGCCCGTAGAAAGAGTTCAAATGTGTTGTCTCTATTTTCTATGTCTCTTAATGTCCGTCTCTAATTTCTTGACATGTGCCCATCTACTTACCCCTACACAAATAATGTTAAATTATCATTATAAAAAATATAAAAAATATAAAAAATAAAAAAACTACAAACTAAAATATAAATATACATATAATAAAAATATCAAAGCTAATTTGATATCTAGTTGGCGTACGTATATTGTATATAAAGGTTTAGGGATAGAGGTAGCTAAAAATCATCATCATCATCATCATCATCATGTTTTTTTGGTGTGGATTGGAGGGAACCAAACCCTAATTAAATAGACACAGCTGGAATTGTGTCTATTGAATAGACTTACTTGGTATCTGATCTAAGGAGAAAGACACCCTGATATTTGCTAAGTACTAAGGTTTCCAACTCCAGCTGTGGTTACCTAGGGAAGTAGTTTTAAAAATAAAATAAAATAAAATATTCCCAAGAGAATGATGACTTTTCAAGATATTCGGAAGCAACTAAAGAAAAAAAACACTTTACGTTCCTTGTTCACCAAGAAACGTTCCTTGTTCACCAAGAAACGTCTTACAGGAAAGTCTCTTTTTAGAGGCAATTACTTCCTCTCCAAGCTTTCCGCTTTCCTCATTTGTAGACTTTTGAAGGGTTCTCTGACTGTAATTTTGGAACTATAAAAGTAACAGATTATGATACTGGAGCGTGGGTTGAGTTTTGTAGGGTTCCCCAACTCCACATCCAATTCTCCGAAAACACTAATAATTTCTCTCCCTCTTCTTCCCTTTTCAAAGCAAGAGAGTCCCCAAAGTCCTCCTCCAATTCTCCGAAAACGCCATGATAAGACAGAGAAACCCAAGAACTCAAATTTCAAGTCCACGCCTTACAAAGAAAGCAAAACAAGAAGAGGAAGAAGACATGATTGCCAACTTACCAGACGATGTTCTTAGCCACATTCTCTCATTGTTACCAACCAAACATGCCGTGGCCACTACCGTGCTCTCCAAGAAATGGACCAACCTATGGACTTCTGCTTCCTTCTTCAAGCTCGACCTTGACGACAGACTACTACTGCGGCCCAAAAGCCTCACATCGATGCCTAATCACGCGTCCTTATTTGCCAACTTCGTGAACCACGTCCTTGGCCTCATCAATTTGCCATGCGTACAAAAAATCACATTCTTTTGCTCCGACTCTTACGATTTGAATCTCATAAATTCTTGGTTGCTTGTTGCATGCACATCCAACGTTGTTGAGGTCGACATCAGAATTCCTTACACTCAAAATCCTATCGAATTGCCTCAAATCTTGTATGCTAGTAGGTCGCTTCGGGTACTAAAACTAAATGCGAATATAAGGCTGGATTTTCCTCCAGATTACGTGTGTTTTCCGAGCCTAAAGGTTCTTTGGATAAAAGTTTATAACCAAGATGGTATTACGTTTACGCAGAAGCTTTTCCATATCTGCTTTGTGCTTGAAGATTTGTTCATGGAGAGTGACATATTGAACAAGGAAAGGGAAGTGGTTTTCACGGTAAAATCGAATACACTTAAGAGGTTGAAAATTGAATGCTTGGTGCATAGTTTCGACATCGAGTATAGCTTTGTGGTAGATTGCCCAAACCTTGAGCACCTTGATCTCTGCGATGACTTCTTGGCCAAGTATAAAATCGATATGGATTTGAAGGTACTTGATGATGCAAAGATTTGTATTGGACTCCCTTCTGCAGATTATGGTGCCTTTGAACTTTATTTCGAGGTAAAGCACTCTAACCGTGCTTTTGAGCTTCTTGAAGCACTCTCAAATGTCAAGTCCTTATCATTGTCTGGATGTACTACTGGGGTAAGTCTCTGCTTTTCTTTAACTTTACCATGTCACCTTTATATAGTTAAAACTATATGTTTGAATGTGTGGTCTAAATTTACAGTTGAGACTATAAGTCATAAGAACATTATTAAAATTTAACGAATGCATATTTCTATGTAGTAGCTAACCATGTTCCATTACTTTTGTTTCTTTTGCATGTCAAGGCTGTCAGCTATTCCTATGAGACTGTGGAACACACTGATTCTGATGAAAATGAAGATGGAATTGCACTACGGATCCGCTTGAGAAATTTCATGCTCAAATTTCCTTTCCTTAGGCGTTTGGAGCTGGGTTTCCGCACCAGTGAGAGTTGGAACACATTGACCTTATTGCTACATAGCTCGCCTAATCTGCAGCATCTTATCTTGAGAAAGGTATGTTTACTTTACATGAATGAACAATTTCAAACTGCTTCGTTTTCAGCACTTTCATCTTCTTACCATTCACTTTTTTTTTTTTTTTTTTTAACGACAGGAACTAAATGGATACTCTGTTGGTTATAAAAGATTTTCTTATGGAATGCCCAAAGGATCGGTGCCGGAATGTTTGTTGCGTCACCTTAAAGAAATGGAGATTTGGGGATTTGAGGGGGTGAAATATGACTTGCCAATGGTAGAGTTCTTTTTGGGGAATGCAGAAGTCTTGCAAAAGATGAAAATTTATGTCCACAAATTATCATCAGATGAAGAGATTATGCTCAGCGAGCATGTGTTGGAAATTCCAAAAGTTTCAGAAGCATGTCAAGTGGAGATCAAATATGAATATTAAAAGAAAATTAAGGGTTGGGCGTCTTGTGATCAAAATTGGGTTTCCAAAGAATCACTCCTAACTTACCCAAGAGCAAGCCGGGGGCGAGCCATGCTGATACAAAAGGATGCTAAAGTCTACGCTAAGTTTGCCACCAACTTTGGCTACAACATTCAAAAGTTGGCAAAACATTGTAAAGGCAGTTCAAACCGAGCAAATCAAAACCAATGCAAGAGATTTAGTTTGATTTTTACACACAAAAAGTGTAATTTGTGACCCAATTGAACCAAACCGCAATTTTATTGTACGGTGGTCAATTTGGTGACAGCTGCCGAAATCAAACAAAACCAGCCATACTATCTTCTGTTTTTATTGTTCTATGACCCATTTCTTAGAAGTGTATGCTTAAGTAAACTTGTAGTCAGCAACTTCTATCGCATATTTTAAAAAGAAAAGAAAATCATCATATTGGCGTTTCTCATAAGCATAAAGGAGTTGGTGACTTTCATGATCAATCTGCTAAGAAATCAGTAAATAAAATACATCATTTCCTATGTATCTGCAAAACTTACCGAGCCGCTAAGGAGAAATTGGTCAGAAAATATAACCACCTAGAAAGTATGACATTCCGGCTGCAGTGGACAACTGCTACAGAGGGTACATTTAGTAGCTCAGTCTAGCTAGATTCGTATGCACTTAAACTAGGGGAACGAAAAGCAATTTTCTGCTGATAGTAGAAACATGACAGGATTAAATTCCTGAATTATAGCGACCCATTTTCACACAGCAGCATCAGGGTCTAACCTTCTCTGAATGGCAGCAGCAGCCTGGCATGAATAAGAGGTGATACCATAAACAAAAAGCCAGAACACGATTAAGAATTATAACAAGAAGACAGCTCTGGTTACTTATCCTCACCTCAAAGTTTCCAATCTTATACTGGTAAGCCATCTCTTCCCTGAGTTGAGCTTGCTCTTTCATTGCTTGTGCCTGAAAATTCAAATGGAGTGAGGAAGTGTATTTTTTGAATGAAGTTTACATGCGATAAACAATTGAATGTGATGAAGCAAAAACTAACCAGTCCACTCTGCATAGAGCGCTTCAGAGCTTCTACTTCTTCTTCCTTTTGCTTTTCACGCACTCGCATCATTTCTTGCCTGAATAGCAATACAATATTATTGGCTAAACACAATAATGCAATCATTGCAATAAATTTGGTTTAACAGATCCAAACTGGTATCATGTTTTTCCTATCCTGTATCTGAAAAAAGTTGCCCTTGCCTTTTTTCTTTCTGTGTGCGCAACTGCCAAACTAAAGTTTCTAAGAACATTCTAACACAAAATGACTAATAAGTTACATTTTGCAGGCACGAATACATTGTCTACAATTAAGGATTGTAAAAGTTTCATCTTTTTCCTTTTAATAGCTGGCTTTTCATATGAACGAATTGAAACTGAAAAATACCAAAATTAGTCCATAAAATGAAAACTAAAAGCTATAGTCTCAGAGCAGAAACTTAAGATGCCACTTCACGACAAATCCAAATAACAGAGATAGCAATAAAACATACCGTCGCTGTTCTTCATCATTGAATACAGTACGTTCTGTTTGCCCAACCTTTTTATAACCTTTTTTTATTTCCTTTTCCAATTTATGCCTGAAATGAGCATCAAGGCTATAATACCTGCAACCACAAAAGTTAGAGTAATTACTAGTCATTCTGTGGTGTTTTGAATCATTTCACATTTTGAATATGTGCATTCACTTTTACAGGTTTTCTAGTTAGGGTGACTATAAACAAAAAAGTGAGAACATACCAACCCTTCTCACTCATACAACCAACCTGAAACAGCATCTGTAACATTAAAACCAAACAAAGTCTTTCCAATTTTATATAGTATCTCCCCTTTGTTTCCTTCTCCAAATAAATAGCTAGAAATCTGGCATGCTATGTTGTCAAATTGTAAATAAGATCCACACAATGAAACATTATTCCACCTATTCAAATATCCTGATTCACAATCTAATAACATGACATGTTAAACCATTTGGTAAGTACTAACTAGTTGTATTGGTCACTCATAAAGTTATGAAAACAACCATTGAAAAGATTAGGCGGATCAAATTTTAAGTCAAGAAGGATATTTCACTCAAATTAGTTAGTGCACATATTCCATTCTCCTTTGAGAGTCCCTGGAGAGAGAGAATGAACACCACCGCCTAAAGCTCTAGATATAGAGATGACTAATGTTAAATAATTTATCATCGTATTGGGCCTTGTTTAGGTGCTTAGATTAAGATACATAAAAAGGGAGGAACATAGCTATATAACTTTTTGTTTTTCGGAAAAGTAAATGGAAGTGCATAAAATTAATAGAATAGAGCCTTACTTTTTGGAAGGGAAGGTAGCTGTGTTGTGATCTTCCATGAACCTATCAAGAAGGATACAAATTTCTACTCAGATTGTAAAATTCCAAAATTACAAAAGCTAACATATTCCTATTTTCTTCATTACTCAGTTCCAGTGAAATTAAAAAAATACTAAAATGATAGACCAAAAAAGAAGATAAATTAAATGCCATCCACACACACAAACACACACTTACTGTTTGAACATCTGCTTCTCTTCCCAATTTGGCAGATGTTCCAAGTTCACCTAAAGAAAGATAAAACAATTATCATTAAAGCTATATTATCAACTCCTGCAATTCAGAAACTGATAAATACATGACTTCTTCAGAACACATATAAAAGAAAAGGGAAAATCTGCAATCTTAGAACTCCAACCAAGATATGTGAAATAAAATATTCTGCAGCTTTCTGGTTTCATGGGGTGGAAAAACAGTTGGAAAATGAACTCACCTGTTTTACTTCTGCCAACCATGCAGTGAACTCTGGTCGTTTGTTCCTATATATAAATATCAATCATCAAATTCAAACGGCCATTAAATAATTAAACACTAAAACTACCAAAGGAGAGAAATTAAATTTTGTTAAGGGACAAGTAGACTTGAAAAAGAATCAACAAGATCATCAAAGTTCGTATCTTTTTCATACAATTTCTCAGCATCCAAACAGAAACTCTAAAACCCTAAAACAATAAAAAAGAAAAAGATCAACTAACATACCACATATCAGTTTCTCTGATGATCCCATACTTCCCCCATGAATTAGTGACAGCTCCTTTCTTTCCTTTCTCCTTCTTTTCCTTCCTCTTCTTCTTTCTCTTCTCCTTCTTCTTCTTCCTCTCTTCCTCTCTTCTCCTTTTCTTCTCCTTCTCTCTTCTTCTCCTCTTCCTTTCTCTGTCATCGTCTTTCTCTTTCCTCCTCTTCCTCTTCCTCCTCCTGTCACTATCACTCTCGCTCTCGCTCTCACTCTCCGACGCCGAATCCGAACCGCTCTCCTCCGACTCCGACTTGGAGTCCGAATCCGAATCCGACTCGCTACTGTACCGCCTCCGAGATCTCCTCTTTCTTCTATCGCTCCTCACAAGTTTTTCATCACTTGACTCGGAGCTTTCCCGCGCTTTCCTTCTGGATTTTCTGCGTTTTCTATCTTCTTCGGAATGGGAATCGGAATGTTCTATCGCTTTCTCGGATTTTCTTTCGTTTTCATCCTCTTTCTCTGAGCTTTTGCTTCTTCTCTCTTGAACGCTGCCATTTCGATCTTTGCCCATTTTGCTGTTCAGGAAAAGAGTGAGAGACAAAGAGAGAAACGCATTACACAAGGGTGGAGGGTGGAGGGTGGAGCTAATTGAAGGGATGGTTTTCGTTTCTGTGTTTCTTGATGAGACTGGACAGAACAGTCGAAGAAAGGGCCTGATGGAGAAATAGCTGGGGTCTCCTCTAGGCCCAATATTGACATGGATCACAAACCTCTCTACGTGGGCTAAAGCATGGCTCGGTTTTATAGTGAGTGTACCATATATGAATCATAAATGTGAATATTTATATTAGCCATATAATTCATCTGAATAGTAACTTCACTTAAATTTAATGAGATGATCATATATCTAATATAAAAGCCGAAATGTGAGTTCTATATATGACACCCTCATTATAAAATTTCACATGTTGCTTTTCCAAATTGACAATGAGTATATCCCTTGACACCCAAACATGCTTTGTGGACGCTCAAGACACCACTAGAGGTATCAAACGGGGCCATGCTAGTATAAACATGGCAGGGTACGATACAAGCACAAGCTGGGGACAATATAAATAGGTTGAGTCGGGCTGGACTTTTAGCTCAATAAGCATGACATAGTACACCCATGAAATGGACCACACAAAACACAAATTGGCTCATTTAAATGCATTAATCCCATTTGACGACTCTACCCAATGTGGCCTGAAGTTTGGAGGACGGTAACATCTCCGACCACCCTCGACCGAGAGGAAAATGATGAGAAGAGGGGGAGGTGTGCAAGGTTTTTTCCTTTAAATTTCCTAATCTTGTAGCTTTTTAAATTTAGGGAACAAAATTAAAAAATTTGAACTTAAATATGGGATTGGGTGTGGATAGAATAGCCCAAAATCCAACCCATCCAAGGCCCAAACAAAAGAAGAAGCCCAAAAGCCTTGTCATTTGACCCATATGACACTACCATTATCACTCCCACCAGAACATCTCCAAGACCCGCTTAAACCTTTCCTCTCATGGCTTTTGCAGTCTTCAAACTCTTGAAGAGGCACCAAAACCTCGCTGCAAATGTATCCCCAATCAAATTTTACTGCAGAGCAAGGCACACTGCCAACACAAGAAATCTCTTCTCAAGAATCAGTCCTCTTGGGGACCCTTTTCTCAGTGTCGTTCCAGTTCTTGACCAATGGGTTCAAGAAGGCGGAAAAGTCAATTACTTTGAGCTCCAGCGGATCGTTCGAGACCTCCGGGCCCGAAAGCGATACAGGCATGCCCTTGATGTGAGTGAATTTGAGCAAAAAGGTCTCCTTTTGGTTGCTGATAATGATTTTTATTCTGTTTTTCTCTTGTACTAAAACTTCTGCTGATTCATTTGGTTGCTAGTAGAAATCTAGTCTTGTTTGTTTTTCTAGTGTTTTTTTTTAATGTTTGTTGGGTTGGGTTCCATTACATGCTGAAAAACTCGCCTCAAACGGTCTATTGGTTTCAATTGAATGATTCTTTGCCTGCAATCCCCTGCTTGCTTGCTGAGAAAATTAATATATAAAAAAGATTTTTGTAACAGGTTAATTTGGTCATAGGGAAAATGGGAAACCCTCAAGGAAATGAGCTTTGGTTTTCTTCTTTGTTCAGATGAACTGATAGAATTCATTCTCAGGTTCTGATATTTAACATATTCCACAGTTTTCTGTTTCCAGTTGACATGTTACTCAAGCTTCTGCCTTTTTCATTGTTGTTGTGCAGGTTTCTGAATGGATGAGTAGCAAAGGCCTGTGCCAATTTTTACCTGGTGACCATGCCGTGCAGCTTGATCTCATCGGTAGAGTTCGTGGCCTAGATGCTGCAGAGAGCTGCTTTAGTAGCTTGAGTGATGAGGATACTAGCAAAAGTTATGGTGCACTTCTAAATTGTTATGTGAGAGAAGGCCTCATTGATAAGTCTCTCTCTCATATGCAGAAGATGAAAGAGTTGGGTTTTGCTACCTCTCTCAACTACAATGACATTATGCGTCTTTATATACATACTGGCCAGCCTGAGAAAATCCCGGATGTGCTATCAGAGATGAAAGAGGAGGGTGTTTCTCCTGACAATTTTAGCTATAGGATTTGCATGAGCTCTTACGGAATGAGATCTGATATAAGTAGCATGGAGAAAGTTTTGGAAGAAATGGAGAGGGAACAACACATCTCCATGGATTGGCTTACTTATGCTTTGGTAGCCAATTTATACATTAAAGCAGGTCTCCATGACAAAGCATTGATCTACCTGGAAAAGAGTGAAGAGAAGGTAAATAAAGATGCGCTTGGCTACAATCATCTAATTTCACTTTACGCAAGCCTGGGATGTAAAGATGACATGATGAGGTTGTGGAGCCTTGAAAAAACCAAGTGCAAGAAGCAAATCAACCGGGATTACATTACCATGCTTGGTTCTCTTGTGAAGCTTGGGGAGCTTGAAGAGACAAAAAAATTGCTAGAGGAGTGGGAGTTATCATGTCTCTCTTATGATTTCCGAGTGCCAAATATCCTCCTAATCGGATATTGTCAAAGGGGGTTGGTTGAACAAGCTGAAGACACTCTTCGAGACATTGTCAAAAAAGGCAAGACTCCAACTCCAAATAGTTGGGCAATTCTTGCTGCAGGATATGTGGACAAACAGAAGATGCAGAAGGCTTTTGAGTGCATGACGGAAGCTCTGAATTTACGGGCAAGAAACACAGGATGGAGGCCGAAACCTGGTGTGGTTTCCAGTGTATTGAGTTGGATTGGAGACAATGGAGACATTGAACAAGTAGAAGCCTTTGTAAGCTTAATGAAGACTGTGATTACAGTAAATAGGGAAATGTACCATGCCTTGATGAAGGCATACATCAGAAGTGGAAGAGAAGTGGAAGTGCTTTTACACAGCATGAAAGAAGATCAAATAGAGGCCGATGATGAAATCCTAAGCTTACGACAGAAGTAACACTGAAAAGACAAGAAGGTGTTTTTATTGGTACTTTTCCCTCTTCTATGCTATTATATAATGAGAAATTTAGTTTTGGTGCAACTCTTTACTTACAGCCACTGAAAATGCAATTGACAAAAACACAAGCAGATAATTTTAGTGAATCTCGGGAAATGTTAATAATGCAGACCTGTTAGAAAATGCATTACAAAGGCCTTTTGAAAAATAAAATGCACTGGAAAAGAATTTATGCCTGTACCTTTGAAGAGGCTATCAAATATAGCTTGGTCTGGTTAATCCGTTATGATCATTGATTTATAGGTATGTATACCAAAGCAACACTTACTGATTGTGACAGGGTATTATAGAAAAAAAGAGCAAAGACTTAACTCTATTGGTGGCAATTGGCATATGCAATTTTTTTTTCTTTCACTAATATTCCTAATCTCTTTGGTTTTTAGTATTAATTCTTCTTGCCCAATGATTTTCATTTAATTGATTAAATAAAATCCTGTATGAGCCAATTTTCGGAAATTTTGCCGAAACTTCACAAATGATAGTAGGTCGAATTTCCAAGAAACAAACACAGATGAACAAAAGAAACTAAACACAGTTCTGTTTGCTTCACGGTTGATTGGTTTCCAGGAAAACAGAAGGAAACTAAACTAATGGTGAACTTTTGGCTTTTGAAATAACATCACTGCAAACTCAACAGAAGAAATAGCCAAACCCAATATCTTCTCAACAACCAAGTAGAGGGTTAAAGTACATGTGATTCCGTTTGTATATGTGTATGTGTATCAGTGTGTGTCAAGTTTACTTGATTATAATTTCGACAATGTCATATTCTCACATATTATTGAATAAAGATAATATATATTAAAAATGTAAATAATTTATATTAAAAAAATATATTATAATGACCGAACTTTTAAGTTGTACTATGCCAAAATTTTGCCGAATAAAACACGTACATATTTTATATACTTATAAAAAAAATTCTTACTTGTAACAACACGCGGCTACTATTTTTTTTTTTTTTTTTTTTTTTTTTTTTCAAATAGTATAGCAGCACGACTTTACATTTTTAACACGTGGCTCCTGTGCTGGGCGCGTCCCATATATATAATAGTAGAGCTGACCGGCTATACTATATTTTTTTAAATAATATTAATAAATCGTATTGCCGTACGGCTATACCCGTTTTTACAATTTCTTTTCCCAAAACAGTATTGCCGCATGGCTTTACTGTTTTGAAACGTGGTGCCTATGCGCTGATCGGGTCCTTATATATATATATATATAAATAGTAACCGACCGGCTATACTAGATTTCTTAAATTTTGTTTGACAAGTAGTATAGCCGCACGGCTATACTCTACCAATCTGGCAAATTTCGCCAGCACAAACCTGTGCCGATGCAATTTCGTTGGGATATATATACATTTTTTTATTTTTAAAATAAATATAAAATTAGTTTATTTACTTTTGATTTTTTTGCCAACTTTAATTTAATATATGTAATTAAGTAATATCTTAGGTTTTTTGAATTACTTTAATTAGTAAGTATCCGGAAAAATAATTGAATTCTAACCAGTCCATGATCCACTTAAGCCTACCAGACAACGGATTGGATCCATGTCCATTTTAATTAGATATATCTAATCTAGTCCAGCTCATCAAACATGGCCAAATTTTACCTACCTCAGCCCCTTATGTGAGGTATTTTATCAAACATGTTGCCTCCCACACTCAAACAAATAAACATAAAATTACTAGGCAAGTTCATGGTGGAGAAAAGGCAACAAGGGCAATGACCTACACTGGCCCCTTGCTAGATCCACCAGTGAAGAGAGAGGGTTTCTCACACACACAATACAAATGTGTCATGAAGGTTCAAATTTGAGACATGGTCTGCAAGTTAAGGCATTTTTCCACTTTTTTTACTGACCAGATCCTGATGGCGAATTTGCAACTTTATTTTGAAAAAAAATACGAAATAAGAATGAACACACATGATAATAACTTATCTATTAATTTCTACAGTTGAATGAATATAATTAACAATAGCGGCTCCCAACTTTTTGGGGGAGCAAGTAGCAATATGTATAAAGCAAGTAAAACACAGAGGCAATATCCTTAATTTTCATTGCCTCAATAGTTTGAGCTATAAATAAGAAAAATACGAATGCCCACCATTGCAATTTGCAAAGCAATTAATTAAGTGCCTTGTTTAATTTGCAAGCATGGAGAGCTAATTAATTAATTAAATTAAGATTATCAGAACTGGTTGCGGGATGAAAATGTTTGTCCAAAACTCCAAGTGGAAGGAACAACACTGGAAAATACTAGTGCTCTTCCATCAACCAACGTGAGCTTGAAAGAGAGCTTTTGGTTTCGGAGATCGATGCTGCTTTGCCAATTTGCACCCCAATTCCTGTGCATGGGCAGCCACGTCCCTTTCCTCATCCTCGACCCCCTTATCCATGCAACCTTCACGTCCCCACTTCCTCCAACGTTGGATATCATCACCATGTTGAAATTTGACTGTCCCTTCAAGGTGAATCGAACCCCTCCTCTTCTTTGACACGACACCCTAGTTGCAATTTGCAAAGTAGAGGTTATGATGTTAGAAAACCACTTTATCCAAAACATACGCAAGTAATTGAGAAAATGAGCCAACAATGTATATCAAAATATCATAATAAATTAACAATGCATATCAAACTAACACCCTTTCTTTACATGCATATCCTGCATGGAGAGAGGCAAACAAATGTAAATCTAAGTCAATCAAATCCAATTTGGATTACAGTCCCAATCTGTAATTAGATTATATATATCAGTTTTTATAATGGTTTAATTTTATAAAATAAAATTAATTTGTAATTTGTAATTGGTATTTTTAATTGTAGTGAATGCCTATTATTAATTATATCTTTTGTGCAATAATATTAGCCATTATTGATTGTTTTGTTATACTACCTTCTATAAATGACAGGAACTATGCCTTCATTGCCTTGTCGTGCAATGCGAAGAAAAGCTGGCGTGGACATGTCAAGTGTTGGTGAGGGGCATTGCACCACCCTCCGTTGTTGTTCGGGGGGCAGAAGTTGGTGGCGGTAACCGTAACGGCACGGCGTTGAAGGCACCACTTGGGATCGATCCTGTAGTTGCAGATCACTTGGTAACAAGCCCCGCATGCCTCCCCTCCTCTGAAAAGTGTGCTGCTCAATGCTGCTGTGTTCACTCCAAACCCCGCATGGAAGGTGTTGTCATAACCACAAGCACCCCCTATATGTATATATATTTCATGTCACCATCAATCCATAATTTTATTTACACTTAAATTAATTATGATCACCAATTGAACAAACAAAAGAATGAAGAAAAACATTTATTTGCTACGATATTACACATTAGTTACTAATGATCTCGATACATATCGTTCACAAAATAGATTATCTTCTGTTGATGATCTTGCACTTATGTCCGAAACTTCGAGGTTTAAGAACTAAACACATCTTGGGTGGCAATTAGATAATTATATAAAAATTCGTACGTAGTTCTAAACATAAGCACAAAATCACCGTAAAAAGTTCAAAATCATAAGCAAAGGATCCGAAGCCAAAAACAACTTACATATATGAAAGTTTTAGCAATATATTAGCTACCTGTCATGTAAAAGACAGCATTTATTTTGTCAAAACGTGACACTTACCAAGGGTGGCGGGATCCTGGTTCATCCCATAGAAAGTTGCATGGCCACTGAGCCAGCCGTTGGCTTCGACATTGACGATGATCATGCCCTCCAAAACCATACTAACCAACAAGAAAATATGCCAAAAAGAAGCACAAGAAGAAACTGCAGAAAGACCAAGAGGAGGCGCCATTTAATAATTTCCCTCTGAATTCTAGACAAGCACACAGGTTTCTATACTTGTTCTGAGGCAAACTCTATAAGCTTCAATGCTTCCTTGAAGAGGCAGCTTCCCTGACTATTTATAGACTGATCGAAACGCTCGTCGGTGACTTAAATAAAATGTAGATCATGAACCTTAATGAATTATTATGCATACAAAACGCGTTTTTCCACGTCCTGTGAATATGAAGAAGTACGGAAAGGTATGTACGATCGGGAATGACAGTTATGAGACATGATAGAGCAAGTGCATGTGAGAGAGCAGCTAACTTTGTGCGATCTGTTTTTTCAAAATCACATGTCGGTGATTTGTTGGCCTATGCTATATATTAAAATTAGGGTTACCCAATTTGAGCACGAACCAATTCGAAATTAGCGAGTTTGACTTCACAATTATATCATTTGAGACTCAAATTTGGTACACAAATTTGGTCATACATGACACAATTCATTAACCAAACAATAAATACAACTGAAATGTTGATCGTGTCCGCCAATTTAAATCTTTAACTATAGTTATATATATATATATTATATGAAGAATTCTATAGTGAGGGCATTATATATGTTCCTTAGGTGAGGTCCTATCTATTAACCGTTGAATCAAATTGGTTAGTTGTTGGATCAAATTAGTTAGTCTGATTCAACAGTTAAAAGATATGACCTCACTTAAAGGCCATATATAAGGCCCTCGCTATAAAATGACTCTGAATGCGTGATAGCTTGCTGTTGAAATAAGGGGACTTCGATATATAGGGCTTCTCTATCTTAGATGGACCTCCTCATTGCTGTGAAGTTGTGAACACATGCTTCTTTAGGGTTTCTAGGCCCATGAACGTTTTAGCTTAGTGTTTCCTTTTCTTTTAGGAACCTTGGGCCCCAAACCCAAATGTACTAAACAAAAAGGTTGTTAATGTCTACTTGAAAAATACTACAAAAATTCAATTTAAAAAAAGAAAAAAAAAATTATATGCACAGATAAAATACATTTCGCAAGAGTTGTTTCTGAAATATCTCTAATAGTCTGTATATTCAGTATGATGAACAATTCTTACAACTGTACAAAAGGAAACCTATAAACAAAAATGTTCAGAACAAGAGAAGGCACAAAATAAAGCAGCAGAAGAGAAAAATGGTTACTCTGTTGAGAGATTTGTCAAGCTGCACTTCCTGCCTTCTCATCCTAGGACTGCTTGGGGGGTAAGAATTCATATGAGGGTAACTAAATATATTTGTGTCCGAGCTTCCAAACATCCTTGCAAATACAAACTCTCCAACCATTCCAATTGTTGGATGGGATAAAGTTGTCATCGTTGCAGCCCCAAGATAAGATGATTCTGAGTTTGCAGCAAAACCTCCATGTGAAGGCTCAAGATCAGATGATTCTGAGTTCGCGGCATAACCTCCCTGTGAAGGGTAATATTGATCGTGAACAGGCTGTGAATGCCTCTCTAAATAATTTGGATCGAGTTGCCGTCTCGGCAACGATGCAGAGAGAATATTAGTCATCAGAGTGTTCAACTCAGGCGATGGTCTGCGTGGTACGACCTGCCCCAACTGAGGTTTCTTTCCTTCAGAATCTGAATGGGATGTTCCGCGGCCGTAGAGGGGAACCAACAAAGCATGGGTGATGTTAGCCTTACAGACAGGACAAGTTCCCTTCATATGGGATGGTTTATCAGAGGTGGTTGGAACCTGAAGCCACTTGTAGATGCATGGCCAGCAGTACAGGTGACCGCATAGAGTCACAACAGGTTCATGTGCTGAATCTAAGCATATGTTGCAGTCAAAGCCACCATCATCATTCTCTGAGTCTGTAGTTAGGGCTGAGATTGACTTCCACTTCTTGATCGAAACATCTGCATCTGAGTCGAAGTGTCCCTCAGGCTCATAGAAGTTCTGTTCCATAGTGATGCGTCCTGTTACAAAACAAGGTCGTCTTCGTTAGCATGCATAAAGACACATACCCACACAGGAAGAGCAAAACAATTAATATACCCGTTCAAGCAAGCGTTATAGTGTGAGTTTGTGTTGGTGACTGTGTGTGTGTAAGAGGAGAGAGAGAGAGAGAGAGAGAGAACAGAGTCCACCAATCAATAATACAAAAGCAAAGGAATTTACAATATTGCAAAAATAGTTGTTCATAGATATAATGACCTCTAAGGGCAAAAAAAAAACTTTGATAATCAATCTCAACAATGCCACTGACGACGCTCCTAAACCAGACTTCTAAACAGACACTAAGCATTTAGAAAAGCACAAATGAATAAAACAAAGTGACACCAACATATAAAGTAGTGTATGGTTAACTTTAAATTGACAAAATGACAGAAGGATACAGTATTATTTATTTGGAGGACAAAAGGCAAAGGTTCTCCAACCCACTAATCATAGAGAATATGAATGGCCCCTACCTATCTTAATCCTAAACAAATGAAAAAGATGGATATGAATAAAACCCAGCACCATGATTATTGTTGTCCTCTGAAATTCTTATATTTCACATCTAGCACCTCTAAAATCAAAGGCCAAGCTGGTTGTGCCAATTTTTTCCACAACATAACAGTACTCTCGATATCTTAAATAATAAACCGTTATTAATAAGAATTCGACTGTCTTTGTTCACATGGTCAAGGGCTGAAACCAGGTGATGGGAAGTTACTATCTACAATTCAAAAGGCAAATATATTTATCTTATTGTTAGAGGCAAGAACTTGTTCACTACTCTGAATGAAGAAATGGTTCACCAACTTGAGGGAATTGCAGGTCAAACTGTCTGCAAAGACTAAAATGTTTCATTCTATTATCCTGACAATCAGTTCAATACACAAAATAAAATATAATTCTGACGAATAGATCCACATATCCCAGAGTAACATAACAAGGTTTGAGCAATCCAGGTTCTAAAAATTACAGATCCTGATTCCAGATTTCAAACCAAGCCAAACGCACCCATGAAAAATATATTGGAAGAAGAAACAAGGGTGCGAGAGAGGAATTTTAAATTGTGAGGGATTTATGATTATCAAGGATCTAACAAAAGCATGATTATCAAAGAAGATTAAGGTTGAATAGCAAAGAATGATCCACCAAAGTTAGTTGGATTAAGGCTGAAGTGGGGTTGAGTAGCCAAGCTTTAAGACCATGAGGGAATCCATTCTAGAGGACGATTTAATTGCAAGTAAACAAATTCAGTACCATGATTAAAGCCTTCCATAAAAATAAAAAAATATTAGCTTAAGATGCTCACTTTTTGGGATTCTTGGTTGCTAAAGTTAATCCCTAACACAAAATTTTCAGATTCCCAGAGAAAATTCCCAATTCTCAGTAACCAAATCAGGAATTCCCATAAGATACAAAATTTTATCTTATTTCCAAGTCCCTAATTTCCTTTCATTGATAGTATGAGTCAGACATCCCGCTAAGAGCTAAACGTTAGCAATTGACACAATGTTTTTTTATAGGATTGATAATGGGAAAAAAATTTGGGTTCCAAAATCACAAATTGGAGAACCATGAACACAGACAATGGGAAAAAAAAAATAGACACAAAAAGAATCACTTCTATGATAAATTCCAAAATCTAGAGGCCAAAAGCCCTGTTAAAAGACAATAGTCACATTAAGATATATAAACTTTGGGTTCCAAAACAACTTTTCCCAAGCTAATTAAATGCAAGCCAAAAACAAGTACTCCTACACAGATCATAATTACCCAGGAAATCCAGGCAACGGGTTTATATAGTCTGGGAATAAATTTCACCCCAAAAAAAAACCATGAAAATTGAAGACCCAACAAATGAAAGGAAAAGGCAAACCAACCCATCACTGTTCTAAACATGATAATCAAAATCCAAGAGAAACCCATCATAGAAAATCAACAAATTCAAGAACTTTCACAGGAAAATTTAAAAAATAAATCAAAGAATTAAAAAAAATTAGAAAATACGAGAGAGATAATGCATACCGAGAAAGAGAAACGGCTAGAACCGATCGAGGTGGGAAATGTAATCCAAAAGCGTGCTGGGGGCGAATCTTGCGAGTTACGAAAGAGAGAAAGAGAAAGAAAAGGCACAGAGAAGGCTTTGATTGTTTGAAACAAGAGGAATGGCTGAGAACGAAAGGAGGAAGGAGAAGGCTTTAAGAATTCAAAAGATCTCGAGTGTCGATATTGGTATTGGGGTTTTCTTATGTGAATATATAGATATATATACACTGACCATTCATATTTCACCCTTTTAACCGCGTCTGGTCTTCAATGAATCAACGTATGAATGGAGTTAGGGTTGTTCTGTTCAACGTCTTGGACCCGCCATTTTCCTTTTTCTCCCCTTTGTTGTTTTGTTTGATTGTTTTGTTTTTTTCTGTGATTCAGGTTTTAAAGATGGGTTCCTTGCCACGTTTGAGCGACCTGGCAAAAGCAGAGAAAATACTTGTAAAATAATTTTCTTTTATCAAATCTTTACCAAAATTGTTTTTCGTTTTTGGTAATAGATATCAGGTTAAAATATTCTTGCCACCTCTGCTTTTTGTGTATTTTGTAAGATTCACGTTAATTTTTCTTTGGATGATCTAATATTAATCTCTGCATTTTAAGAATCATGACAATTATTGATAATAAAAAAGGAATCATGACAACTATGATTAACAAGAACTATTAGCATGATTCGGTTGGTTAGATCAGATGATCATAACATTGTGCTCACCTCCTTAAATCCAGCCGGATTTTCCTATTGTAGTTTAGAGTAGACTAATAAAAAGTTATTAGTGATAATAACAATTACCTAAAAAACCAAAAATAAAAGCTTATTGGCAAATAATAGATAAGGATACATGCCTTGTTTTTCTTTTGTTACAATTTTAACACTTCATTATCCTTTTAAGCGTTGGATTTAGAAATAACCCCAAGTTAATTTTGACAGATAGTGATCCAGGTCAACAGGAAAAGCCCCTTCCATAACGAGTCTTGGTATTTCTAGTAACTTCTTTCTTATCAACCGAAATGCCCCTTGGATTAGACCCCAAAAACAAATCCACGTACGAAAGAAATGTGTTACGCTTGCATCACATGCACCCAAAAATTCCCATTTGGGTCAAAATCTTAGCAGCCTTAGCTATTTGCTGTTTGGCCAATGCCAGCGCCCGGGAAACTTCCTAGCTATGAATTACAACAAGAAGAAGAAGAAGAAACAACTAGAACCAACGACTATAATGACACCACATTTTTTTGACCAAAGAAAAATATTAGGCAATAGTGTTAACTGTCCAATACTTTTTTTAAACAGAAATTTGACAAGTTATAAGTAAGTGTAAAATTGACAATAAAGATTAAGGGAGTCGATAGAAGTTTTACTTTGTCTAATAGCTTAAAATTAATGAACTAGTTTTTAGTTTAGTGGTAGTGGTCCGTACTTAATTGGAGAATGTTTTCAAGTTCGGTTTATATAAATGCAACATAACGATATATATTTGCGATAAATTCAATACCTTAGTCGTGGGTTAACTATTTTGTGAGTATAACGGACTTTCTTTTAAAAATATCTTGCAATTTTTTAAAATTTTTTATTTAACAAAACCTTAGACTAAATAAAATATATCTGACCATCTAGAAGAACGTGACCAAATATATATATGTTTGTTTTAGAGAAAAAAGTAGGGGTTGGATGTTGGTGATTCGGCTGACTAGACCACTATCTAATACTGTGGTCCCAACTCTTAACTCTAATTAATTAGTCTTTTTTTATATAGAAAAATTGATTAGTCTAATTTGGTAGCATGTGGGACCAGCAAATCAGCCTAGTTAGCTTGATAAGCAAGAAATGATGATAACATGCCTAATTATGCGGGGCCAGTGTGTGAAGGTTGCTCCGCATGTTCATGAGTCATCTACTCGTCTCCTACTAGTACCATTACTCCTATTCCTAAACACGTGGCGCTTGCTTTGACACGTGGTTTGAACTAAACCAGTGACTAAACCGGGGGCCGTAATTCTAGAAGCTTCTTGGAATAAAAATTCAACATTTTCAGATGTGTTGCCTAGAAATGTATTGTCGGTTCTCATATATTTTTCTTTTGTTACTGTTAACGGTTACTCATTACATTACCGTCAGGTTATTTATAAATGTGAGACTCCATGCGGTATATGAGTTATATTATAAGAGCATTTTCAGCCTCTTTATATTATAAGAGCATTTTCAACGGCCTCTTTAAATTGCTGTTTATCAACCTATAGCTAAAATCTTATCTAAAATCTTGCTATGGTCCACTATGATATTGCAAAGTCCAACATAAGGCATTGATGTGTATACAAGACGAAGATAATCTTTGATCCGCAAGTTAGTTTGAGAACAAATTTATAACCATTTTTGTTCAAATCAAGACCAAATCAAATCTCACTTTTTCTTTAATTCCACCATGTGCAAATGATTTTTATTTTAGATGTTCAAGTTGATCAGAGTTGGTTACCCCTACTGATTTGTACTTTAAGTCTTTAGAAATTTGTTATATTATAATTTTAAAAAGTCTCTAACAAAATATAAAATATTGGGTTATGAGAAAAATTTTTATAAATAATTCGGTATAAATCCAATTCTTATAATAGAATTTGGGTGCAATCCACACACGTATTGTTATAATCCAAGTCCTCTTACTTCAATGCCACATAGGAGTACATTCCTTTTTTCTAATTTTATGATGTAATCATATATATTTTTTCTTTTTAAATTTATTTTCATGTTCAAATTATGCCCTTATAATTTAAATTGGGGAAGACTGATTTATATCATAATAATTAGCTAATTAATACAACTATTGATTCGGATTGCAATTCATAAATGGGAAAGAAATTAATTTTAGGCCAATAATTACTATATTTGACCTTATAGTTAATTATGATTTAAATTTATAAAA